CCTCCCCCCTCCCCCATGAAGGTTGCGGTGTGGAACTATAGAGGCGTGGGTGGCCCCTCTACAGTTCCCCAGATCAAGGAGGTATGGATACTTCATCACCCCCACTTTTTCTTTCTTTCAGAAACTAAAAAAATAAGAATATTTTTATTACTACAGTTTGTAACAACGTAGGAGTTAAAGACAGTTGGGCTTCAGTAGAACATATTGGCAGTAGTGCATGGGAACATACTATTCAAGTGTTCCAAATAATCATAAATTCTTTTTGTGATGAAGTTGAGTTTTGGGATGAGGCTAAAAGCATGGTAAGTTGGGGGGGGTCTTCTTATATGCCAGGACAGAGTTTACAGTGGGATTATTTGATCACAACAAAGCCAAATCGGGGAAATAGCTGGATATTGGGCGGTGACTCAATGACAAAACAATCTTGGAGGAAAAGAGAGGTGAAAAACAATGAAGAACTCACTCTTGTTCAACTTTCAACAAGTACATCAGCTTGATGAGAATGCAAGCAGTGGCTTTTCACGGGTTACTCTTTTACCTGGGGCAACAACAGACAGCAGGAGGGTTTTATCGAGGAGAAATTGGATAGGATCTTTGCATTCTTAACCTGGCATATCACAAATTCAGAGGTTATAGTTCAAAATGTTTTCCGGTGTTCTTCAGACCATAGCCATTTACTTCTAAATTGCAACCCCGATAAGAAGCAATCCAAGCGGTGATTCTATTTTGATAAACGATGGTTGCACAGAGCATGAGTTGGAGAAACAGTTTCTACAGCTTGGGATACTCCACAAAAGGGAACCTCACTTTTAAGTCTACAATCCAATATCAAAGCTACAAGAAATAGAGCAGTTCTTTCAAAACTGAGACAGATAAAAAGATTGAGGCTTCCAAGAGAAGCTTGTCACAACTCAGAGAGATAGGAGGTTTAATAGATTGGGCCACTTGGGACAGAATTTCTAAAGAACTCGAGAAAGCCTATAAGCAGGAAGAGCAATATTGATATCAAAAATACAGAATCAACTGGTTGAAGTTTGGGGATAAGAACACTCATTTTTTGCATGCCAAAACCCTTCAGAGAAGAAGGAAGAACCAAATATTGAGATTGGTCAGGGAGGATAACACAGTTTTTTAGAGCAAGGATGCAATTTATCATTGTATTGAAGACTTTTTCTCTCAGTTATTTGTTAGAGGCATGCTGTAAAAGCTGTGTTTTGCAGTTTCTATCAATTCCATTTTGATCTGGCAATC